CATTATTCTTATAGGTTTATGTCTTGTTCATTTTACCCTTACAAGGGTATTCTAGTAATTGAATTCATTTGTAACCCCAAAAAAATTAATGGGGAGTTACAAACAATCAAATCCCAAAAAATATGCATTCATATTATTAATTTTTTTATACTATTGATCTTCTGTGTTCATTCTTGTATGAATTCCTAAATCGCATAAGAAACACGGTAGTAACGATTTTCAGTATTGATCAATTTGAACACAAATGAACCGTGAACACAATTTGAACACAAATAAACAACTGTGAACACAATTTGAACACGAATGAATCGTGAACACAATTTGAACAAATTAACAAATGAACACAAATTAACAGATGTTACCTTAATTTTGTGGGACGTCTATGTATGTGAATATATGGGCCAAAAATTGTACATATCGTGTTTATTCGTGTTCATATCGTGTTCACGGTTCATTTGTGTTCAATTTGTGTTCACGGTTGTTCATTTTTGTTCAAATTGTGTTCATGGTTCATTTGTGTTCAAATTAATCAATACCAAAAATTGTTACCACCGTGTTTCTTATGCGATTTAGGAATTCATACAAGAATAAACATGGAAGATCAATAGTAAAATAATAATAATAATAATAATAATATGAATGCATATTTTTTGGAATTTGATTGTTTGTAACTCCCCATTCATTGTTTGGGGGTTACAAATGAATTCAATTTACTAGAATACTTTTGATAAGTGTATTTTTTCTTCCCAAAATGCCCTTTCATCATTGTTCACTAGACCTCATTAAAATTCAAACTTTAAAATTTAATTTTTTTTATTGATTAATCTTAACTGTTGATTATAGATTTGGATGACCAATATCAGTTAATAAGATTAATACAAAAATAATGATAAGCATTTGATCTTGGCCATATATATATATATATATATGGGTGTGTATTTGTATGATTAAATAGTAGAGTACAAATGCAGTCATTAAATAAAATCAGTAGAATATTATAATGCATCATCAAACTAGCTGCATTCATTCCTTCACCTAATTCTTAATTGTAGTAGCATTTACCCACTCACGTGCTTTACCACGTGTTTTACATTTAGATAACAATCTAACGCCGTTACCTATCCCAAAACCATCTCACAAAAAAAATAAACCACTCTCACACTCGTCCGTTACCGTTAAACGTAACGGAGGTCAACTAGTTATTTTTACATCCATAATAAATAATATATATTTATCCTAAATAAACTACAAAATTAACTCACCCGATTCAAACCCATTCTTATAGCGCTACAAGAGGATCCGACCCGAATATATCACCATAATCAGGGAGGTAATCATCCATGGGCCAAGAAGAACCGATACTGAAATCCTTACCTGACCCGAAAAACATATCCAGCGGGTCGGATTCTTGAAACATTATAGGGTCGAAAATAAACGGGTCGAGTTTTGGGAAGTCGAAAGAATCGGAGGTGGAGAAATCGTCGTCGAACGGCCGGAAATCTGTAAAGGTCTCCGGCACGGCGATCTCTGAAGCTTCGTTTGCTCCGTCGTTGTAAGGACTGGAGTGAATTGACTCAGCGGCGGATTTCTCCGTTGAAGCTGAGGGAAAACTGAGGACGGATTTAGGCGACGTCGTTTTGTTGTTGTTTTGAGAATCGTTGCCGGAGTTGTAGCCGGAGGAGACGGAAGAAGGTTTCTTCTCCGGTAACTGAAGTGTTGCAGGTGGTGGAATGGTGAAGTTAGTGAGCGCATCAGGACCACGGAGCTGGATGGCGGCGTGGTCATACACCATTGCAGCTTCTTCAGCGGTATCAAATGTGCCAAGCCACAGCCGTACACGGCGCATCGGATCTCGAATCTCCGCCGCCCATTTCCCCCATGGCCGTTGCCTTACGCCGCGAAACTTCTTACCTGAATCAACCTTCAATCGTTTCTCCGCCGTGGCGTAACCTTTTCCGGCAACCTTCTTCCTCCGGTTCACCACCATTTTATCCTCCTTCCGATTTCGGTTTTCATTAACAGTACTATCATCCTTCGATCGAGCTTCAATTCTAACCTCATTAACAAACTTCCTCACTCTTCGCCTGTTGAACAATCCTGATTCTTCATCACCTGAAGAATCAGTTGCATAAGCGTCGGTTACCGATATCCTCACAACTCTAGGACTCACGGCGGAGCTACTTCCGTCCGGCAACTTCCGTTTCGGACACAACAAATTACTAACCATGGTAACGCTTGTTTTGTGAACACTTTGCTTCACTGGAGCCATCATTTGTTGATTTTCCATGAACAGTAACTCCATTAAAACCGATTTGTATCTCAGATTCGCATCGAAAAGGCGAAGAGCGTGCGAAAAGAGGAGATTCCTTTATAGAAGAATAAAGAGAGGGTTCTTCAAGGAGGCGATAAAGCGTGAAGAATACTCGTGCAGTAGAGATTAAAGCGCCATAGACAAAATCTCAAAGGAAGAGAAAAAAGCTGCAGAAAAAAGCAGAGATTAAAAAGCAATCAACGGTGACACAGAAGAAGCTGAAGTCGTTTTCACTGGAGAAATGAAAAAGGGGCGGTGGGGGAAGAATCAAGGAAAAATACAGAGGATCTGGTTGGTTCAGTGAGTCAGTGGTGTGGTGTGGTGTGGTGGTGGTGGTGGGCTCAATGACTGCAATTTCCGGCGACTTTAGGAGGAAATCACGGCGGAGAAAATCGAAGAAATCCGGCTTCTGAATTTGAAGAGCGAGCAGTGAGGGTTTAGGAGGAAGAAGAAGGGAAAGGCTTTACAAACTGTCCCCATATTTGCTATTTTATAGAATTCTACCAACCTCAATTTCTTTTGGGAAATTTACTCGGTAATTTTTGGTAATTGCTGAATGATTTGGTGTATAATGATTAAGTGGTCAGAATAATTAAAAGGCTCTTATAATATAATACAAAATAAAATATAATTATTTGGTAATTGTGTACAAAGAAATTAGGGTTCTTGATGGTTAAGGGAGATACATGATACAAAATAGTTCAGAGAGTTTTAGAACCATTAAAAGACATTTTTTTTTTGCCAAACAAGATTTATCTCTTAACGATTCAGAGGTTGCCTCTTAATAGAACTATTAAGAGGTAAACAGAGTCATTTTACCGTTCAAATTGCTCTTTTAGCCATTTCTCTCTCAAGTTTTCTTAAATGTTGTTACATCTGTAATATCTACATCCACAATATAACAGACCTAGCTAAAATACAGAAATTCAAATTCCAGTAGATTAGCAAGTGTCGTCGTCGCAATTGCGGACCTAAGTTGAATCTGATATTTGTTTTTTGTTTTTTAGTCAGGTCCATAATATCAMAGACGTAGTGAAATTTGCATAAACCCATGAGAGGATTGGTTAGGAGACTAAATTGAATGGGTGTAATGGTTATTTGAGTCAAGTCCCCTTTATGTTCAGGTTGTTAAAGTGTCACCTGTAATAAGCTAACATGACAAGTAACACTTTAGAAGATCTTAAACAGATTCTTCAAAATTTCTCCAAAATGCATGATAAAACTTCAAAAATCTAACTACAAGGGTGGTGCCTGATTGGTTTGAGCTCGAACTTCAAAGATCAAAAGTGTCTGGAGGTCCCAAGTTCGAATCTAAGGAGAAATAAAAATCCTCTTATGGCCATGGAGATTCAAATGCGGTGACTCAGAGCTATCCGCGAAGCGGGTTGTCGTCCTATGATTAGTGGACTCGTATAACGGGTTAAATATCAAAGTTAATAAAAAAAACTTCAAAATCTTTAAAACAGTAACAGATTCTCTATTATAGAGATTACAAAATTTATTATATTATTAAAATATTTATTTTATCTAATAAAATATTATTTCTCTGTTTAGATATTTGCGTACATTGTAATTATTTTTTGGGTGTTCTCAAAATTTCGAGATTTTTACACCGTCTCTCCTACTTTCTGCATTTTGGAAAATAAATGTCTACAGTTTTATTTGATTTTGTATTAAAATAAGTGTTCATTTATTAAATTTAACCATGCAGTTTGTTACAGAAATTTATACTGGTTTGTATAAATCTGTTAAATCCTCATACGAGGATTTGTAAGACCTCTTTCCACTTTTTCAGTACCGTCTTCACGTAGTACGATTGAGTTGTCTAATTATAGCTTAAAGTGTTGCTTCAGTGTCTCGATAGGAAAAACGCCAGCTCTACAACTTTTAATTCCATATCTTCCAAAACCAAGTTGTGTACGGTTTGATTTACATCCTCTCCTGAACTAAAATAGATCATAGGCCTAAAAAGGGTAAGTAGGTTCATGTGATCTGCATCAAACTTATGACTCTGATGAAATTTTACAGATAGATTCACTTAATGACATAATTATTGCTTTAGACAGTATATATATTTTTTTTCCTTTTTGTCATTACATTTGTTTTTTTTATACAGTACAACGTTTAGAGTACAGAAATTTACTGAAATATGGTGTTTCGTGTATTGACGAAAATACATTGTTTAAAATGAGTCAAAGTTGCAATATATTGCTATTTTATGATAAATACATCGTTAAAAGTAAATATCCATTGGTACTTTATGCAGATACCCTAATATTGAAGTGTAAATCGATATCTCGAATTGTCGTCACTGCTTATAGGGGTGTAAACTGATTATATTCTTAAAACGAATTATATATAAAAAATCGAGTATCTCACAAGCTTTTCGAGTCAAATATTGGATAGGTCGACTTGACTTGTTAATATGTCGAGTCGAGTTCGAGTTTGAGACGAGTCTATTCGAGTTCGAGTTTGAGACGAGTTTTGACCGAGTCGATCTCAAGTAACTCATGAGTTGTCTGGTATCATTTACACCCCTAACTGCTTAGATATCATATGTAAAACCAGAAGTCCAGAACAACTATAAGCGTTTTTTTTAATTTATTGGAAAATACTGGTTTGATAAGCCATAAACCAGTTATTCAAGAACTTTCTTTTTATAAAGAAATATATAATATTTATACACGTCAAAATCCACACAGCTCTCGTCTTTTATAAGCCTTTAAGCTTGGACATCTAAAAAAAGGCAGGATTTAAAGGTAACCCAGATACCTTTGGACCAGTAGGCTTCATGGGTTCTTTTCACATTTTCTAATCGTGCCGTTACATATTATAATTGAGAATTTTTTAAAATGTCGTTTTTAAAGTCTTTACATTTTCACCCAAACTAGCTGGTTTAGTGGGTAACAATTAGTTTACCTGTTAATAACTAACTTTTCAGCTAACAACTAATCATGGGTTTATACACAATGTTGTAAATGGTGTCAGAAGTGGAGTTGCGGTGAGGTCAGTCTTTTAGTCCTTATGAACCACGATGAGACCATGACATTTTTCAGTGCGTGATTTTTGGCAACTATAATACACATACGTTTTTTACTATGTTAGTGATATTCAACGTGGCGTCAAATATCAATCCTACATTAGGACGACCAACATACTGAACTCTTAAAACACTGCTTTTTAAATAATATTTATAATTTGTATTTATAACATATGTAACGTTTAGAACACTGCTTATATTGGGTAGACTAAATGCGACGAATGATCGTGTGAGAATAGGAGTTAAGGTGTTAAGCGTTAGAAGGGATCATATGACCCTTGATCATTTTTAATCTCACGTAGGGTCGGGTCCGGTGAGAATGAAAGTTAGGGTAAGAAAGGTAAGAAGGGATCTCCACCATTGGATCAATTATAATTGAAGATAGACACTAATGCAGTCAATCAATATAGATTGATCTGAAATCCGATCTGATGTGATGGAAGGGCTGACTCCACCAGATCATTTCTCGTGATAAGCGTAATTCATGGGTGAAATGAGATTAAATGTGATCAAGGATCCAGATCTCTTCTTATACATACATAGGTTCAAATGAAAACTGATTTTCGGGTGTGAACCGAGGGACAAATGGGAGCACGAAACGTGTCTCACACCTTCACCGGTTATTTGTCATGAATAATCTATCATTAATGATGAATGTGTATTATTCTTCATTAATAGTGAAACAATTTTAACACTGATTATTATCATGTATTATTCATTATGAATGTTGTATAATTCATCATGTATAGATCATAATCGTTCAACTTCGTTACTCATACTGAATATGGACATTGGGTACACATGTTGCGCTCTACTTTATCCCCCGATTCACAATCGAAAATCAGTTTGCAATTACACACACACACATAATATATATATATATATATATATATAGGGTTGTGTTCCGGTGAGAAGAGAAGTTATGATAAGAAGCGTAATAAAAGATCTCCACCATTTAGTTAATCCTAATTAAATGTCAACACTAATAAAGTGCACAAATATACACCATAACTTTTATTCTCTGATAATTTATTTATATATATTAATCCATCTATACTTGTAATCAACAGATGTTGATTTTTAAAACACATACACACACACATATATATATATATATATATATATATATATATAATTACCAAGGTGTAGTATTTTCTCTTGGGACACTATTTGTGGTTCATGAACCTCACCTGTGTTTCGTCGCCTTCCTATATAATTGTGAGATGCTCCTTTCCTTTTATGGAAATTACCATTATTACCCTTGTATTCCATATTCATGATTTTTTTAATCCAAGTAAATAGTTTTTTTTTTATAAAAAAAAACCCCTAATAATTTGTACAAAATTTTCAACCTTATTTCCATGTATTATTTCATGTATAAATGAACACTGATAAAAATGTAATGTTTATAAAGTGTTGTTTCATATGTGAAACGTTCATAACTGTTCTTTTTCCACAGCTAAAACAGTCATGAACGTCTCACATATGAAACGACGGTGTCTGTATAAATACTGTATTTTCACATATGTTGTTTCTTATATGGAGCAACACATGAAAATTGGTTTGTAAATTTGTACGATTTGTTGTGTTTTTAAATGATTATGCATCTTATCATGTAATGTATTAAAATAATATTCTTTTCAGTTTTAAATTTATAAAATCTTTTTTTATAATATATAAACATCCGTATTCAAGGGACCACGTTAAATCATAATGATGATGAATTTGCAACATTCTCTGCATCGGCCTGTTGTAGGCATGGAACATGTGAAAATAAGTAATGACCTTGACGGTATAAATTTTAACACTAAATATCAGATAAAAGTAAAGAGTAATATAACTTTTTAGTTTATGCTATCAACATTTTATTTATAGGGTCTTTTTGTTCAGGTGCAGGTAGTCCGAATCTTCACAGACATGTCTATTTTCCAATACAAAAAATCGTCGGTTTCACATAAATAAGATATAATTAAATTACTTATGGGTCGTTTACCTAAATGTTTACCCGGTAAGCGCTTACCATTAGGAGTCAACATTATAATTTATTTTACCGGATAAAATTGTAGTACATCAAGACATATCTTATGCAACAATTTACCTGGTAAGCGCTTACCCGGGTAAGAGTCGTCACCCTCACTTACCAGGTAAAACTCTTCATCCTTATCATCGTTCTTATCGGGTAAGATTCTTGCCCCTTGCCATGTTCATCCAGTGAAAAAAATTGCCCAATAAGTACTTACCGGATAAGCATTTAGTAAACGGCCCCTTAGTGGATTCGAACTTTGAATCTCCCAAACAATTGAATGTCAGTGTATGTTCACTTTTGTTTTTTGGATTACCTGGATATCCAACACGCTATGTGAGCC